TAATTCTACATATAACTTATCTACGTTATGAATCTTAAAAAAAATCTTACTTATCTATTGCTTCTCAGTGGCACAGCAGTATCTCTGCGAACTTGCACTGCTAGAAACCGGGTTTCGATACCCGTTGTGGGCAGAGCACCGATAGATCTTTGCGTAGCTTTGTGCTTAACTACAAACATATCTATTAGTTCTATAGAGTCTTACCTCCAAAAGTCAGGATAACCATGGAGAGTAGTAAGAGTAGCTTACACTGCGTAACCACCATCTGGACGAGGCAGCTTCCAGCTTTGTTGTTTTAATATTAAATCTAGCTTCTGTTTCTTCTACTTTTTTTATTATTCACACTCCTACAACACGGGCGTCAAACTGTGTTGATAAACCTTTTTGCCCTTCTGGTTCTCTTCAAATCAGGTTCGGATTTGTTTGATTTCGTTTCCATGACAACATTTTTCAGATTATAGCTACTAGCATAATAGCGGCACATGCCTGTACAGGTTAAAGTATACCTGTTCGTGAGTGGAACGTGTCTCGGTCGTGTAAAACTATTTAATCACTAAAAGGGTGGATTTTATTTCCCGTGCGTAGATCGGTACAATTGCTACAATTCAATAAGGACTTCCAGCTATAAGGACATTAAATGTAACCAGCATGACTTGTTTAGCAGCACAGAGACAAAGGTTTCGTTATTAATTTTAACCTGTTTACTTTTCAATGTATATATGCTAAAGAAAAGTGTGTGTGTGTGTGTTTTCTTTAAGCAAAGCCACATTGGGCTATCTGCTGTGTCCACCGAGGGGGGACTCGAACCTCTGATTTTAGCATTGTATGTCCGAAGATTTACCGTTGTCTCACCGGGGGACAAAGAAAAGATGGGAAAAACTTTAATAAAGGGCATGGCCTGGTAGTTAGGGCACTTGACTCGCAATCTACGGTTCGCGGGTTCGAATCCCATCACTGAACATGCTTACCCTTTCAACCGTGGGGTCATTATAATGTGATTTTCAATCCCACTATTCGTTGGTAAAAGAGTAGCCCAAGAGTTGGCGGTTGGTCGTGTTGACTTGCTGCCCTACCTCTAGCCAATCACTTCTAAATTAGATACGGTTAAGAAAGTTAGCCCGAGAAGATAGATTAATATGAAGCCCAAAGTGTCATTACATCACTTGTCACTTAATTATCAAGCCTGGGGTATTTCACCCCCCTCAACCGCAACCCATTAGTAAAACAAATCCTGCTCTTGTCTGATAGTTTTTGTTTTTTTTTGCCACACTTAGAATGTACTCACATTCCCAAAGTGCGGTGAGCGTTTTCGCGGCATCGAGTAACAAAATTGCATCCACGGATTGACAGTGCAGTCACGCTAACCGCTAGGCCACGCCCAGTCCTAAAGTTGAATGTGCTTGAAAACAATTATTTATTAATCTATCATTTCTAAACTTTGTTTTAATTACTGTCAATTACTAGATTTTCAGCTAATATATGTTTATCTTAAATTAAGTCATCATTTAACTGCTAATTTTCCTGGCTACAAGCGATATCTAAACGTGTTAAGCCGGTTATTAAATGTCTTCAAGTTAACTTGGAAAATGATAAGATAAACACTGGCTACAGGCACGAAATATAAGATCGTTTCGACACCAAGCGAAGGGTTTACTAATAGACAGAGTTGACTTCCAATAAACCCAGGGACGATGTCCAGAAAGGAGCTGCGAATCTAGGTTAATAGCTTCCCAAAGGATCTCTCGCTTTTTTGTTGTTTTTTTTTTTAATACTTACAACACGTCGTGATTTATTACTCGAGATGATACCGCTGTCGTTCTACGCACAGTTAATAGGAGTTGATAAAACAGGGCTAATCTTTTCCTCGGTTAAACGTATATTGTCAAAATAACGGTATTCGAACGTCAGTTTCGGATTTCATGAAGTAAGAAGACATATTTATAAAAGTTTCGGTTATCGTTGTTTTTTTGTTTTTTTCTCTCTTCTTGTTTATTTATTTTTGCTAGGATAACTTTCTTGTCAAATTCTGGGTATCTGGTATGTTCGACCTGTACGACACCTTGTGGCAGTGGTGCGCAAACTTCATTTTATTTTATTTTTTATGATGACCTCCTTTCCAAACAGGCCTTTTCTTGAATCGCTCCTCCTCCCTCCCCCCCCTGCCCTTAATATCACTTATATAACTTAATAGTGGTAATATTTGTACGGTATTTATAAAACGTCTTTATTATTGAATTTGTAATTTCAGATATAATTTACACATTCGTACAGTCATAGTTGCCTAGCATCCCCCTACAGACTCTTCGCACTTCCCTTGGGGGGTCGTACCCCACAGCTTGCACAATATGGCCTTATGCGACACATGGGCTAAAGAGCTAGGTCAGATACCTTAAGAGTAAGGCATATACATTCTTAATTGTCAATTTTTCACCAGGAGAAAGGCAACCGATCTGAATCGCCCGCCGCCTACACGGTTATTTTAAACCGAATAGTGGTATTGATGGCCACTTTTATAACGCCCTCATAGATGCAATTGAGGAGCGACATATCGTGCCTCGAATCTAGAACCTATCGATCCGCAGCCCGGTACGCTAATCATTGATCCACAGCCAACCTGAAACTCTTGGTTGAAACTTCACATGAAGTTATGTTGAATGATAACAGTATAGCTTGTTTTTCTTGTTGTTGGTGAAAAAAAAATGGAATCTCAGATGAGAAAAAATCTAAAATCATAGTATAACACTATGATGGAAAAAAAAATCTAAAAACACCGTATAACACTTTGGTGAGAAAAAATCTAAAACATAGTATAACACTGTGATGAGACAAAATCTAAAAACACAGTATAACACTTTGGTGAGAAAAAAATCTAAAACATAGTATAACACTGTGATGAGAAAAAATATCTAAAAACACCGTATAACACTGTGATGAGACAAAATCTAAAAACACAGTATAACACTTTGGTGAGAAAAAATCTAAAAACACTATATAACACTGTGATGAGAAAAAATCTAAAAACACTATATAACACTATGATGAGAAAAAATCTAAAACATAGTATAACACTGTGATGAGAAAAAATCTAAAACATAGTATAACACTTTGATGAGAAAAAATCTAAAAACACTATATAACACTGTGATGAGAAAAAATCTAAACACACAGTATAACACTGTTATAGGTGATGAACCATTGTTCTATGGTGTAATATCAACAACACTTACTAACGGTATCTGGCACATCAATCAATGTGAAACTTCAGTCAAGTGACGGGATAGTGTTATTGTCTGTCTGGCCAGATACTAAACGCCAGTCGTGTGACATAATATTGTTGTTGTCTGTCTGACCAGATGCCAAACGTCAGTCAAGTGACAGGATATTGTTGTTGTCATGGTGTCTGTCTGGCCAGTTGCCACACATCATTCAAGTGACATGATCTTGCTGTCATGTTGTCTGTCTGACCAGATGCCAAACGTCAGTCAAGTGACATGGTATTATTGTTCTCTGTCTGGTCAGATACTAAACGTCAGTCGTGTGTTGTTATCATGGTGTCTGTCTGACCAGATGCCAAACGTCAGTCAAGTGACATGGTATTATTGTTCTCTGTCTGGTCAGATACTAAACGTCAGTCGTGTGTTGTTATCATGGTGTCTGTCTGACCAGATGCCAAACTTCAGTCAAGTGACAGGATATTTTTGTCATGTTGTCTAAATAATAAATAAATAACACACGACGTTAAAATAGATATACAGTTAAAAACATTTTTAATTCAGTCTAATCTATGGCCTCTAAAATGTTGACTCTACATGTTTCGACATTTTCCACGTCAGCATCAAGAGTGAAATTACCATAAATAAATGTCATATTAGTTCTTTCTTAACTAGGTCATGTGCTAAACGATATTTTAAATTACGTTTTGTTAGTCCAGTATGAACACTTCCACATTTGCACTCATTTTTATAAATTACAGCTTTTCCCACTAACTGTATGCTATCTTCAGTATTACCTAAAATTTATTTTATCCTATTTAACAGTTTAAATATGAAGTGAAATATTTGTTGTTGTTTTCGTAGGTAGTGTAATGCCCAGTTTAGGAAATGAGCGTAACAGCTTTTCCAAATGCAAAATATTCATATACTCAAATCATAATGATGTGTTCAGTTTGGCGATTTAGAATTTCCAAGACAGGAATATTCCTAGTAAAAACAAAGGATATGTATCAACTAGGGGTACCAGGTTCGTCTTGCAGGAAGTCGTACACCTGCTGTATCTAGCTTAGTATCTAATAATAGGTGAGAATCCATGAATACAAAGGTGTGTGTCCCAGACAATGGTGCACAACATAATAAAGAAGGATCTCTGTATGGAAAATCAAAACAAATCACATGTGCACAAGTTGCTTTCGCGATATATCAGTTCAACCCTCGCATACCTCAAGTAGCTGGAGAATGAAACGGGTATTCATTTTAATCCATGCAAGAACATGTGTATATTTCTGCACGATTGGACTGTTGAAATGAGAGCTGGAAATTTGTCTTTCTTGTACGCTAATTGACGTATGGAAAGTAACACGGAGGAGGAATGTGCTTTAGACATGACAGATTTTCAAATGAAAGCTACACTGCATGGCTATTATTAAGTGCGAGATCGTCAAATAAAACATGACTGGACATAACGACATGGACTGTAACGACGTGTTGAGGCTTCAAAACTATTTTAATATTACGTACTCAACATACATATATATATATGACGTGTAGGGTATATAAGCTTAATATCATATTTATAAAAATTAAATGTCTTATAACATAAGTATGAAAACAACTTACGTTTTATAATGTAAGCTTTTGTGCATGGGCTATTTTATGTGTCACATATATCCAATAGCGAAGACACAGTTTTAGGCACAAGTTATATTTATTTCTATTTTTGTTATCATATTTGATTAAATAATTTTATTCGAAATAGTACGTAATAGTAAATATCGCAGTAATCTAAACATCCTAAATATATTTTTTATACCATTGGCGCAGCCTCGTTTAGTCAAGCAAGAATTTTAAATTCATGTTTGATTTGTTACTGTCAAACTTTCACATCACAACATGGAGCAGAGAAAAATTAAATCGATGTTGTTTATACCGCTACAACCCTAGAAACCGGGTTTCGATACCCCTAGTGGGCAGAGCACAGGTAGCCCATTGTGTAGCTTTGTGCTTAACTTCAAACAAACAAACCATTCTGTAACTCAATTTTTTTAATAGTTGCATTCTCTTTCATTTACTAATCACGTTAACTAGCTTGTTCTCTGTTCTTGAGATTCTTTAATAAGTCTTCAACCCAGTTCTTCCCGTGTTTCTAATA